GGGATATGGGGCCAGGATTAGGGTTAGAAGGGGTGGGATATGGGGCCAGGATTAGGGTTGGGGGGCGTGATTTGGGTTAGGGGCGGGATTAGTGTCAGGGGTGGGATTAGGGTTAGGGCCAGGGATTAGGGTCACAGCCAGGATTGAAGTTAGGGGTTGGGATTAGGATCGGGGGGATAAGGGTCAGGGGGTGGAATTAGCATTAGGGGCTGGGATTTGGTTTAGGGGCGGGATTAGTGTCAGGGGTGGGATTAGGGTTAGGGCCAGGGATTAGGGTTAGGGGGCAGGATGAGGGTCACAGTCAGGATTGGAGTTCGGGGTTGGGATTAGGATCGGGGGATAAAGGTCAGGTGGCRGAATTAGGATTASGGGCTGTGATTCGGTCTAGGGGCGGGATTCRGGTTAGCAGCGGGATTAAGGTAAGGGGCGGGATTAGGGTCAGGCGGTTTAGGGTTAGGGGCAGGATTAGGGTTAAGGGGTGGGATTAGGTTTACTGGGCCTCTTGGTCATGTTGCCCAGAGGAGGGCTCACCTGTGCAAAGCGTGTCRTGGTGCCCTTCCCTGGGGAAAGGAGGGAACTTGTGTGCTAGCACGCTCCTTATTCAATTCCACGAGGAAGAAGAACTCGAACTCTAACTTTGTCTAGTTCTCAGAGAAAATGTGCAATGATTTCGRGTTTTGCTATCTCAGTCTTTGTAYAAATGATGCTAAAACCCAAAGGAGATAGTGATTTTGGTATTGCCTTGGGCTCTTTATTTGATGCCAATACAGTTCTAAAAACCCTATTTTGGTGGGATAGAAGAATTGAGAGAAAATAAAAGGTATGGGGAAGAATAAAATGTGTCACAACAATGTGGGAGAAGGGGAGAAGCAGGGGGAGAAGGGCCCAAGACATACAAAACAGAGACGGGCCCCGGGGACCTGGGACTTGTTGCAACTCCAACTGTCAGTGCTGCTTTTTTCTCCTTCTGTCCTCCCTTCCCCTTCAGCAACTCTGGTCATTTGGCTATCCTCCACGTAAGAGCAATCTAAACATTAATAATACTTACAATAGACAAAGTTGGAGATTAAATATTACTTAAAAATTAGTAGCTGGAGTGGACACCCCAAAGATCATGGGCTACCACATYTGGGTTTGCAGTTCTGCTAATAAAGATGTTCTYTCCCATTGAAGCTCCTCCCAGTACTGAGAACCTTTGCCTAAAGAAGGGTTTAAGGACAGCCTCATTACAATACCCTGTATATTATTTCACCGTTTGCAATACAGTAAAACTGACTGAAACATTAGTAGGCATCTTCCATCTCTCCTAAAAAACAAAGAGAGAAGAACAGTGCCTTAGGACWTCCAAAGAATGTCAGGCAATCTAATGGACAGCACCGGGTTTGTCTGCATCAGCAGGGTTCCAGCGAGTCATGCCGTGCTGCTTCTGAAGTGTTTCAGGATTGAAGTTCCCTTCAGCACAAYGCCAGACAGCTACCGATTCCCAGACACAGACGTCTTCCTGTATTTGTATATGAAAGCATCTGTCYTCCCAAGACTAATYGCATAGATACCATCTGGCACCAGGGACCCAAAACGTCTGCTGCTGAGAAAGGATTCTCCAACACCYGCTGCCAAGGAGGAAGGATTTCCATGGACACCCAGGGCTTTTGCAGAGGCTTTGCTGTCACCACTGGCAGTGGCCTCAGGACAGTCACATCCAGCACACTTGGTCAAACTGTCCATGCA